TTAATAGTTTCCATGGAATTTGAGAAATACTATATTGGATACAATAGTTTTCAATCCGATAATTAGGACTAAATATAGTGTTGTGTTTCCTAATTGCCATACTAAAGGCTTACAATTTAATTGGATCATGTGTATTTTTTGCTTTCTTAAAGAGTGCAAATAGTTGAAAGGCCCTTTGATACTTGATGAATTCTGACCCATGCCTATGATGTTTTTCTTAGGAAACAGATAGTTTCTTGGTTGTAAGCTTGTTATGTGGTGTCCTACATATTTGTTCTTCAAATGTCTTCCAGATCTTGTTTGTTTGAGCTTCTATTTTATCTTTTTCAGGTTCTTCTTTAAACAATGGATCTATTATTATTCTGAGTTTGTAATTCAGACTTTTATTGAATGGCTTCCACTGTTCAGGTATTGACTCCTTTATATCAATTTTTTGTTCACTCTTTGTGGAAGGCTTGTTTTTGATATCTTTTGTAAAAAGATTGGTATTATATATTGTTAGTACTAGCATAGTATGATCCCTTCCTGTTGTTTTCTCCATACTTTGATTGTCAAATCTGAGTATTAGATAGTTTGTAAGGAATTAAGATATCCATATATAATCAATCTAACTATTGCTAGTAGTATCCTATCTTATTGAAATTTTATTTTTTTCTTTCCATATAGTCTGTATGTTAAAGAAGGATCATTTATCTAAAAAGTTGAATAGTAGTATTTCTGGATGCCAAAATGGTTTAAATTTAGCTTTAGATGTTGATGCCTTGTCTTCTGTAGAGTTATATGTAACATTAAAGTCTATTATTATTATTATATAAAAATCTTGTCTATTCTTTTCTTTAATAAAGTTTTGTATTCTCTTCTGCATCTTTATACTTTATTATTTGTTTGAGGAAATATTGATCTGAATAATGCACATCTTGTTTCATTTTATGAGCATATTAACTGCTATCATATATCCTTTTGTCTTTTCTACTGATACTACTTTTTTTTCAGATCTTTTCTTATCAATAGATAATTCCTGCATCATATGGAATATTTTTATTGATACTATGAAAATACTTAAAAGTCGTTTGCTTCCAGAAGGTCCATTTTGCCTTTGTATTGATTAGTTTTTGTTTCATGTAGTCCTATTATTCCAATACCTTGTTTCTACATTTCTTTTATAAGACTATACTGGTTTGTACTATTTGTAATACCTCTAATATTATGTGTCCCTATTCTAATTATCCTTTTCTATATATCTTCCTCTTTTGTTTTTTCTACCTATTGGTCCTTTCTATTTCTCTCTAAAAATTTATCTTTTTCTATTTGCAAGAAATTATCAAGATCTTGATTGCTTTGCTACCATTTACTATTGTTCTTCTCTATTTGTCATGTTTTATTCTTGTTTTGTATTTTTGACTTGAAAATGGTGGATTGACATTTTTTTTTTTCTGTGATTGGACTGTGTACCCTTTTTAGAAGCAGTTGACCCTCCTTTTGAGTAGACCTTTCTCTAGTTTATCTAGTCATTTACTAAGCTTCTCTAATATTTTGCTCAGTTGGGTTACTTTTGACTCTAACTTTGCAGTTGATCTTAGGCTTCTTGTTTCTCCTTTTGTTATTTGCCTTTAATGTCACCTGGTATTCAAAACTTCATCATCTGTTTCTGAGGAATATTGTTAAGTCTGGTGTGGAGCTTGTTTTGCTTTCTAATGTCTTCACCTCCTTAATGACTTCCTATCGCTACTAGTTACTAATGATATACTGTATACCTTATTTTACTTCTCCTATTTTCTGGTTGACTATTGTTTCTTTTAAGTCTTACTGCCAATGTAGCTTCTTTTTCAGTTACCATGATATCTTCATTACTTTCTCTATCTCCTATTGCTCTATCTTAGCTTTTGTAATCTTTCCTTACTTCTTCAATTATTATATGTATATTGCCTGACCTAGTCAGATCAACTGACACCTTGTTATGATAATGATTCTTTGCACTCTATTTTAGTTCTTAATTATTAATCTTTATTTAATGCTGAAGTGCCTCTCTTAGATCTTTTTCATTCACAAAGTATACTACTATGTAGTTTTCTGATACCAAGTAGATCTTGTTTTTTGGTATATAAAAGGCTTTAGTCTTCGTATAGTTTAAGGCTTCTTCTATAGATTCTATAGATAATCTATCAACTCCATAAAGTCTTAAGGGGTATCTCATTCTCTCTTTTAGAATTTGAGTAATTTCTTGATCATTTTGTTTCTTGTAAACTATCCTTAACTATACTTAATTGAATTTTATCTTAATTATCCATTCCTTGTCCAAGTTGATATATTTTCAGTAAGTATAAAAATGAACTCTAAACTGTTTTTGATGAAAAGATATTCTATATTCGTGAATATTGATAATCTCTTCAAATTCTTCTATTGTTTGTCTAATCACACATTTGCCAAGCTTGTGATCTGTATTTACTAATGTGATATATTTTGATCAATTTTTGGCTGATAAAAAGTTTTTTGGCTTGAAGAACTTTTTATTCTGAACATATCTTTGGAAGGTTAGTTATGTATACATATCTTTGTTTATTCTTTTAAGTGTATAGTTCTCAGTTTCTTTTTTGTTAACAGCCTCCAGACATCTTGCTACATCTTTTTCATCATCAAAGCCAAATATAATCCTATAGTTTCCATTGATGAATTCTGTTTTGAAGGAATTTATTTATTTAGGTATTTTTAGAGCTCTTTTGAGCTATGTAATTCCATCTTTTCTATTTTCTCCTGGCAACATAACTTGAAGTATCCCCACCTTGATCGATCTCTATTGTTTTACTGTTGTCTCTTAAACCCTGTTTCTTGTATTATAAGATATGCTATCTGTAATATAGCTTCCTTGTACTGTTTCTTTTAATACTTTTGTTTTTATTTGTTTCACTACTGTTCTATTCTCCATTATGACTTCCTTAATAGAGTGTATTTCTTTGAGTTCTGTAGAAGTTGATTGAATTTCAATTGGATGCTTTCTATCATAAAAACATCAATTTGATTAGAGTTTGATGTTTGTATTACTGACTTGCTTGTCAACATATTATATATCTTTTCTTCTAATATATGTGCTTTTAGATTTTCCTTTTTACCTTGTTCCTTTTTCCAGAGAGTGAGGATATATTACTACATCATACTTTCTTTGGCCTGTACCAATGGATCTATACTTAATAGATTGACAATAATATTATTTAGTATCAAGAAAACATGTATTGACTCAACAAGAATGTGGAATTGATTAGTTGCTGTTGGTCTCAGTTTATATTTTATTATTCTTGTTTTCCAAAATACTTGCTGAGGATCTTGATAAGAAGCTATTTTTCACAATACTTTCAATAGCTTCTTCTCTCTCCTCTCTAGAATCCTGATTATTGTTTATTCTTTTATTGACATGTTGTCATATAATATATAAAAATTTTTACATATGTTGTTAATATATAAGTGTCTTTTTAATCACACAATCAGATAAATACTGTTATGTATTATTTTTCCATTTGATGTATATGGCAATAAATTGTTATATTTATATTAGGAGTCTATAACATATAGCTTTTATATGTTTATATGTCCAGTATTTATTTATTAATATATAATTGACTATGATCAACTATTAATTTTGTTTTAGATAATATGTGCTAGTTGATTACACCTATTCTAGTTTGTTGATTTGTCACATTCTATTATTTTATTGTAGATTGATCAACTTGTTTTGATATACATTAATCAGGTGGAAAGTTAATGTGTTTGTGTTTGTGTAATATGAATTAGTTGATCTGGAGTTGTGTTGTTGTGATCTTTTAGCTGTTTGATTAAAGAGACTTGGACATCCTCCTGGATTTCAATTAGCCTTGTAGTTATGCTAATTTATCAGTGTAATCTATTGCTTCTAAGACTTTTCTTAGTACCTAGAAAGGTGTTAACCTGCACTGGCCTGGCTAAATGCTTTGTGAAGTTGAGGTTAAATCTCAAAAAGTCTACTGTGAATCAGTTGGTTTTTGCTTTTTCTTCTTTTTAAAAAAAAAAGATCTAGAAATATCTGTCTTTCAAGTTAAGCAAAACTTTTTTTCTGTTATTGCCAAGTAGATTTTTGTTGCTTAAAAGTATTTGGTTGTGTTCTCTAAGGCTTGCTCTTGTGTAGAAGAATTTTTGTGAGTTTTCATAAAAATTACTAAAAAAGATTTTTTTTTGAAAAAATGTGAATCAGCATAAAATAAGCTTAATAAAGTTATTATTATATTATTGTAAATAAATAAATATATATATATATATAGTTATTTATTTTTAATATTATAAAATTTTTTATAAGTAAATATATATAATTAAAGAAAAAATTCTATAAATTTTTTTAATAATATTATTATATATATAATTATAATTAATAAAAGTTTGTTTATATTTCAAAAATCAATATATTTAATTTTAATTAATTTTTTTAAATAAGAATTCTATTATTCAAAAATTCAAAATTAAATAAAAATAGATTAATTTTTTTAAAAACTCAAGAAAGTAAAAATGCTAAGAGAGAATTAATAGATAAAAAAGAAAAAAATAAATCTTGTTATTGCAATATTTTTTATAATGACTTGTTTCAAATATAGAAAAATTTTCATATACTTTTTTCTTTAGAAACCTTCCTCAATAACAAATATATTATTAACTTCTTCTAATTACTAGAAGTCAAGTTTATAATTAAGGAGGATTATAAATAAGAGGAAGGAAGTAATGATAGATATTTAAAATACTCTTTAAATTGATTTAAGAATAGTATTAAGATTTTATTAACCAAAAAGTCAAACTTTTATGTAAATATATTTTTCTAATTTCTTAAGATAAATAATTATATTTACTAATTTACATGTTATTAATTAAATTTGCTATTCAATAACAAAAAATCTGAACCTTTAGATTTTAAAAATCAATTTTAAATAAGAAATTGGACAATAATATAATACATAATTATACACTACATTTAACAATTAAATTTTTTAAGCATTAGCTTCCTTTAGTTCCCTTAAATCATTTTGCAATTCTTCTTTAACAAAATTCAATTCCTTTTTCACAAAATCTACGTCAACCTCGCCTTTCTCTTCTTGTTCTAATTTCTGTCTCCATTTGTTTATATAGTCAGCGTGTGCCTCGTAATATATTAAATGAGGGAACCATTCAGCGTGTTGACGTTGTGATGACGTCAACAAAAATAGTTCAACTTCGGCTATGAGCTCGGCACGTTGACGTAAATGCGCTTGTCTAGCAACTTGCAAACCATCGCTGAAAACGTAGGTTATCAAACCTTAATTTTAAGATGAATCATTAAAAAAAATAAAGAATATTAATACTGTATATGCATCTTTAGATGATGATTTTGACAATAGACACTACATACCAATAAGTAGATTAAGAAGCAATATTACTGCAAGAAAACTAAATATGATCTCCATTAGTGCTAGTGGTAAAGTTGGTTCAAAGGCTGAAAGCCCATCCCAACCAATTCCCAAGAAAGAATATGTGGATAACAATGACCAATCAAGCCTTTTCCAATTATTAGTCGATGCAAGTGGTATTTGTGACAAGGAAACTTGACCAATCGAATCTCCATTTGTGGAATTAATAATGTTCCCTGTAAAATGTGGCACTAAATCCAAAGGATCAGTGTCTCGAAGAAGCACAAATAAGGCATTGGCGAAACCCTAATAGTTATTTAAAAACAAGGTTAAGAAAGGCCAAGGTAATCATATATGCCAGAAAATCAAAGGTAATTGAAATTTACCATGACGAGGAATGCTAACACAAAAAATAATGTTCTTATTTGCCCGACAATTTCGATGACAATTGCAATAAATTTTCCCGGCCCGGCAAAAGCTCGCATAAGCAAAAGCTAAAAGTAGAAAGGAGTACTTTACTTAAGATGCAAATAATGATTTAAGTACTTTTGGGAATGAAACAATTTAATCTCACCATGTTTAGCCAAACCATTAAAACGGAAAAACATTTTAGCCAATGTGGAGGCTCTATGTTACCGATAACGATTAGTCCTGTCACCAATGGCAAAAAATATGATGCCTAATGTAGCGAAAGATTAATAATAATCCAGGTATTCAGAAAATGACAATTTTTTCATGCCTACCAAATCAACCCAGTTGAATACGCTATACCAGTAACTTAGTTGGCGGCCTTTCATCTGCCGAAATTCTTGAATCAAAAATAGAACCGAGATAAAAGATACAATGGCAAACACAGAGGTGATCCATGCACTTCGTCCCGAGTCGGGAACCAAAGTATTTGTAATACTAACTGATACACAAAAAAGTAAAGCATAAACAAAGTAGACAGAAAGTAGCCACAAAAACCGTTTTTTTGCGAATTTGTCCCTAAAACAATGGAAAGTTTGTGATTAATGTTATTTAATAAGAAAGGTGCGGATCAATTACCATTTAAATTTAATAACTGCTTCCATGGCGACTTCATTAAACATCTCCGGAGGACCAGTTAGAGCGATGTCAGCGAATGGGCTTCTCTCAGAAGCAGGTACGAAGAAATTCCACTTGGTTTTACGCGAAGGATAAACACTGAAATCTGGCCAAGGAACGACACAGAGTTTCGCAGGATGAGTCTTCTGACTATCTGCTAGTTTTTGTTTACGCATCTGCCTTAAATTAACATATATTTCTTTCTTTAATTCTATCTTTTTCGTTTTTCCACTACTATAACTTTCTTTCGAGAAAAATTCTGTTTTCTCGTCTTTGACATCAATTCCCTCTCCCGTGAGTCCAAACCAATTTTTCTTGGTTTTTTTTTGAGCACCTTCATCTCTTTCAACATTTGGTAACAATGCCCTGCGTGTAACTGCGGCCAATTCTTCGCGTTCACTTCTTTCCTCAATTTGATATGGATTTCCTAATTTGGTATTCAGTATTCTTGTAGGAGTCTCCAAGGAAGTTGTGAAATAGCTGATGTTCAACATATAAAGATCAAACTTAGGAAGAAAAAAAAAGAAAAGAAAACCGCAGAGTTTAACGATCGTTTCGAATTTGAACTGCATACCTCGATTCCTTCATTATAAATAGTCCTTTATCTGGATAATAGTGATTCAAGTCCAACAAAGATTTTCCTATTGTCCACGCAAAACCGGGTTGTTGTACTCGAAAATTTTGTTTTGGTTGTGACGTTGCTTCTTCATTAGGATTAAATCTTCTTCGAAGGTGAAAGACGATATACTAAGATTCAATTTGACGAGAAATTTTCTTAATTACAAAATGATTGCGCAAAAAAAAAAAAAAAAAGAAAGCAAGGGAAACAATAGATCTATGATCATTCACCTTCACCAAAAGTTGCACGAGTTCCGATTTTTGGAGATCCACTAATAATGATAATGCACTTTCCGTTTGTTCGTCGTTGTGAAATAATGGAATATATCGATTCTGTTCCAAAATACTTTCTACCAAATTATCCCATCCTAGGGCAATGAAGTCTTCCTGTGAATTCAATCATTATTTGTCAATTATCCTTGTTTTTTTTTTTTTGCGGATATGTAGCACACATACCATAGGATAAATATATTCGCCTTCGCCAACTGAAATTTTGTTAAACATAGACGGATATGACTGGACCGACGTAATGAGCAGTTTTCTTAATTGTTCTCTAATCGCCAAACGATTGAAGTACATGCCTTCCTCAGGGAATTGCAGACGAATATGATGAATCGACGCACACGCGTCCGATATTATCCTATAACTTGCCGTTTCGTTCACACCGGGTATCGGGACAACCGTAGTGAAGTTGTTTGTTAATTTGACATGAAGATTGTAACTCAGAAGGTCTTCTTCATTATCAAAGTCATCAGAATCCTCGTCTTCGCAAGTTTCTAACGAAACAGACTGAATATTGGCATCCTGCGTTATTGGAACTACCCACATGTATTGCAATTCAATCTTTAAGAATTTCTGATTTTCTTTATAATTTGTCTTATATACTTGAACACTATCTTCTCCAATTACGAGAAACCTGTTCCCAGTATAATCAAGCCATCTCGCAGTTATCATCTCCGAGCCAGTAAAATTATTCCATGGTTCGATCAAAAATTTACTGATTAAAACATCTTCGTTATCATGGATGTAGCCCCAACAAATTGATCGGGACATATATTGTTCGATGGCGGAAGAGAATTTTAACCCTTTTCCAGGTGCCTTACATTCCTTACATTCTTTGACTCTCTCCAACAGATTCGTGCTTACTGGTGAAGATGCGAAAAGGAGACATGATTGGAGTTCATTATCGATTGCTTGAACGAAACATTCATTGAGGAACACAAATGGGTTGACAGAGTTAAAACGAGGGCAGTTTTCTTCATGAACCAATAAACCACTCCAACAATCCCAGATCTGAACACGAATCCCATCTTCACCATTCGAGAATACTATTATTTGTTCCGTTTTTGCCAAGAGGGCGATATAAAAAGTCGAACTGGGAACTTCAATATCACAAACTGATAGAGCAGTTGGAATATGAAAGATGGATAGAATGCCCAAATTTTCGTGATCTTGATTGATTTCCTCGTGAAACCTACATTGATGGGATAAGCCATTGAAAAATGCACTTAAAAAAAGCATAGCCGATTGCCATTATAAGCATAGCTAATCATTAATAATTACCTAGCAACAATCTCTCCACTCTTAGAAATAGCATATAAATTATGTGATGGTCGTTGATTTTTGGATTCAATGTAAAACCATTGTTTCAGCGTTCCCTCGAGATCCCACACGCTAAGACCAGAACTAGTCTCGGGCCAAATAATGTAACCGTTTTTTAAGCTGCAAATTAGAATATCATAGACCTTTGAAAGGAATGCATTGCTGTCAGATGAATAATTAGGAGCAATTTTGATGAGCTGAGAAACGCTTAGGTTATTTATAATTTTCCAGTTATTAGTGGAGAATATATACATATTCTCTTCGGTGAAGCACACCATGCGAGAATGAGGACAAAAAATTAATGGGCCTGAAATGGGAAGAGAATTTATTCTTGAAGAGTGATCATGCTGATGATTAAGTGTAGTTGAATAGACGGCAAAACATGCCTCTGGTTTGCTAAGATCGTGAGAATTAACCGAGTCCATATTAACTGTTTCACCGGTATTCTCAATTATCGTCATTTTCGATATGGAAGCAAATCCACCACATTCAGATATAGAAACATAAATCTTTTCGTTACTCTCGACGGTTGTCTTATTAAAAGGCGTTTTAACTGAAAACACGTGAGACAATTTAGTTGAATTCAAAACAACCGGCCATACAGCAAGCACACCATCCTCTCTACTCCAAGTAACTATGTACTTTTCCCCGGGGGAAGATCCCATTACATCAATATTTTTATCTATATAATTTTTCGATGTGATATCCATCCATTCGTCATCTTTTTTATTCATCGCAAGCATTGAACCACTCAACTTTTCAAACATTTTGAGTCCATCATCAGGAACCAAGTTTATCCCATCGTCAATGCGGTCAACTTGTATTTCAGAATTGATTGATGAACCTTGACCTTGGATATAACTTTGATCCTTCTCCATTTTAACTAAACTCGTTCAAGTCAAAGTGACTTCATTTCTTACTTACAGTATTTCGTGTATAAATACACATCATCAATAAGGAGGGGATCGTGTAAATTACACAACAATGGCGTTTTTGAATAAAAATTATAAAAACGGCAGTATTTGTTTGAGTATCGGTTTTTTCGGAAGGGATGCTTTGTGTCACCGATGCATAAATCTTTCGTATTTATCATACAGCATTGCAGCATTGCCGTTCTGCACAATGAATGTTACTCCGATGAATTGTGTGTGTCACATGACCATGCAACATATAATTAGAGATGCAAACCCGACTGATGGTAGTGCAGTGTAAAGTGGAACCGGCTTAATAATGATATTATTACAGAAATTTGGCTTATTTAATTAATAAGAGTAAAATCAAATACGCACTTACAGTATATTTAATTTTATATTAATTAAACATTATCATTATTCATATTATTATTATATATAATATATTTTTAATTATAATTTACTAAAGTAATAAATTATTAATTTAGTTTTTATATTAAAATAAATAAATATAAAATTTCAAGAGTAATATAAAAAGTTTAGGATTTTATCAAAAAAAACTCTTTCTGCGAATCTCCAGTTTTCTTAAAAAAAATTTTTTTTTTGATAATTTTATTAGAAAACAAGAGAAGTTAACTTCACACACACAAGAAAACACTTTTACACACAAAAACCTTTGCTCTCAAGCAAGCCTTATATTCTACTGTGCAACTAATCAGCAACAAATATTAAAAATATTTAAAGAAAATCTATCTTTCCTGCACAAAATTTCTTTCTTTATAGAGGAAAGAAAAATATAAGAATACTGATTCACAGTAAGCTTTTTGAAATCCAACCTCAACTCCACAAGTTCTCAGCCAGGCCAATGTAGGGTAACACCTTTCTTGACATCAAGAGAAGTCTTGCAATCATCTGGAATTTATATAAACTCCAGACAACTTAGATTAGACTATTATAGTCTCAGATATAATGTATAGATCATATTACTCAAGTCATTTGAGTAATGGATCAATTGCAAAACCCAAGTCACACCTGAGACTATTATAATCTATATATTGTGTGCTATATAGATTGCCTTTGCATTGTCACTTGAGATCTGTTGAGGCATGTACCAGTGTGACATATATTTTACTTTTTAGGCTACACTCGAGTAACTTTCATTTTACTTTTTACGATACACACTAAGGTAACCAATATGAATGTGAATCCAACGTTACTCCACATGCAACATAATATACACCAGTTTGGTGATCATGGCTGATTTCCGTTACTGATCACATGGGCAAAAAATATATTTAACAATTATATATCATCATTTGTGAACCCAATTTGTGCATTATTAGTAATAACAGGATTCTTGATTATAGATTTTCAAATAGATATTGCTTCTTTTAATGTTTCTTTAAGCTCAAAATTATACTCTTGCTCTAGCTTTTCTATAGAAGATTTAAATACTTTCTCAATCACTTCTGTCAAGAATTTATTAATATTTCGTACTAACTTGGTATTGTGATCTTGCATTGTTATTATTTTATATATTTAATAGAATATTTAATAAAAAAATTAATCGCCTGATAATGAGGTACACTCCCATAACATAAATCATAGTGCGATAGTCAATTTTTAAAATGATCAGCAAATGAAAGAAAATGTGAAAGGTCATTTTTTATATAATTATTAATCATATAAGGGTTAAATTTTTACATTGTTGGGGTTTTCAAAATATATAGTTTTTAAAACGATGATTTTTTTTTTTGGTCTCATTTGTGATTCTTTCACAATGGAACCAAAATAGAAGGAATTATCAGAAAGTGAATGAAATTAGATAATCAGGACTTGGTAGTATGATTCAAGTGTTTCTATAATAGTAGAAAACCTTAAATTTGCACCATCGACAGTCAGAAGAGTAATAAAATATTATGAAGATTCGGAAGAAATAAAACCACCATCTTGAAGTGAAAAACTACCAAAACTAACTGATTACAATACATGACATTTAATACGTATTATTAAAAAAGATCATTAAATGTTGTGCAAAATGAATTTATGCAATCAACATCTAATAATGTTTTCACATGTACTCTACAATGATACCTTCATAAAGAAGGTTATTATGGTTAAATTGGAAAGAGAAAACTATTTATAAGTGATAAAAATCAAAAAATTCATTTTGATGGGCAAAAAAATGGTTACAGTGAACTTCTGAATAGGATTACATCATTTGAAGCGATAAATCTCATTTTGAAGTATATGGAAGTGATAACTGTTATTATGTATAGCGATTACTTAAAGAAAAATATGATATTAATTGTCTTGTTCCAACATTCAAATCTGGCAAAAGAGGAATAATGATATGGGGATGTTTTACCACAGGTGGCTTAGGTGCATTGGTGAGAGTTGATGGATGACAAAAAGCAATCGACTATATTAATGTTCTTGATAGTTATTTATTGCCATATTTAGAGAGCCTTAATACTCAAAATAGTTATCTATTTAAAGATGATAATTACCCAATTTATTGGGCAAAAAATGTAAAAAAATGGATTGAAGATAAAATATCTCTTGTCTTCTATAGCCAGCTCAGAGCCCTGATCTTAATCCTATCAAACATCTTTGGGATGAGTTAGAGCATTGGATCTATAAACATAATCCCCTGCCAACTAGCGAAACAAAACTATTTGAATTCTTGCAGGAGGAATGGTCAAAAATAGATAATCACATTTACCATAATCTTGTGATTAGCATGCCTCGCCATGTTGAGGTTGTTAAAAAGTCCAAAGGAAATCCTATGATGTATTAAAATATATAATATATCTTAGAAGACTTTTTTTTTAAAAAAAAAAATTTTTTTTTAAGAAAATTACTGTAGTTTTTACAATTCGCTAAAAAAAAGTTTCCATTCATTTGCCAATTTATCGTTAAATTTGATCATCGCACCATGATTTATGTCATGGGAGTGCACATAGTACCAAATTGTTATCATATTTGGTAATAGCATCAAAGCCTCCGATGATGAGGCATATAGTGCCAAACTGTTAGCAGTTATTGAGCTTTACATAATTTATTCGAATATTACCTGATGTAGTGCCAAATTGCTAACTACTGTATTATAATGTACTCGAATATCGATCACGGATGAGGCACGTAGTACCGAATTGTTAGCAGTTGTTAGCTTCACATGATTCATTCAAATATCGCCCGAATGTTATCTGTTATAATATCGACCGAATATGAGGCACGTAGTGCCGAATTTTTATCCCCACCTAGTAATACTCAAAGCATTGTAATAAATATATCTGTTTTCTGTTTTTATATTATGAAAAGGGGTAGGCAAGGCTTGATATAGAAATAGTATGGTGGTTATAATATAAAAAAATCCTTAATGTGAAAAAAAATCGTTGGGTCAGCAATCACCCATTTTAAAAATGTTTATTTGACTTGAAATTCTTTTTTTCTGTATCGGAATTTTGATAGGTGATTGCTGTCCCAAAAATATATGTGATATGTTAGTGATTGCTGTCCCAAAAATATATGTGATATGTTAGTAATTGCTGTCCCAAAAATCCGTTATATAATCTAGGTATCAGAGTATTAATTTTAAGAATTAAATTTTTTCTTATACTTATTGTGAGAGGTGATAAAAACCCCTTTACCCAAAATGTATGACTAGATATACTTCCAGCTAGAGTATTCAGATTATATAATTATCCATATTCAATGTAAGTTAGAAATCGATTTTTTAATTCTTTTTTATGTGGAGTAGTAGGAACGCCCATTTTAGCCTCGAATTTGCGTTTGTATTCTAGGAAATCGGCCTCATTCATACTCTCGCGCTCTTTTTTCCAATAATTATGGTTATCCCGCATTTCCAAGACAATCTTGGTTCGCCATTGTTCCAATTTTCCTTCGACATTTGGAATTTTTGCTGTAAAAGAAGAGTAAGGGCATCTATATCAGATTCATTTTTAATGAGAAGTTCTGAAGATAAAGAAATTGAGGATTCGGGTATTTTTTTCTCCCCCATATTGGTTTCATCAACAGTATCTATATGGCATATATCTTGAGAAGAATTGAGATCTGATTTTGGGGATCCATGATTACATTATCACTTAAACAAGCATCGGGAAGAATCTTTTTTAGATGTCCATCTATTTTAAGTTTCAAGTGTTTAGGTATCTTTGTATGATCTCTTTCCCAATTAAAACATACTTTAAATTCCTTTAACGGCTTGTTTAAAAATTCTGTAAAATATTTTAGATTATAGTTAGCATGCGGTCTCCATTTTTTGCATAGTAACGACGCTCATTTTTCTTATAAATTGGTAGAAAGCTCAGTAAATTAGTATCAAAGTCTTGACGTGATAAAGTATAAGATGTATGAATACCTGAAGAAAAACCTTCCCTCGTAAAATCTCCTCTAAAGCAATAACTTTTGGCAATAATGAATCGCAAGAAGCCTTCTCTCGTGAATCTTCATTAACCATAAATTTATGATTGTCACGCAAGTCATCAAGAGGGTTCATAGCTTGAACTAATGCACTATACGCATTTCGCATCTCTTTTTGGGAATATTTTTCTACAAAATCTTCAGTTATATCTCCAGGGGTCTTTTTATAAAAAGATGCGAGATTGTATTTCTGCAAAGCAAGTTTATAGGCTGGGTCTACATCCTCTTCTCTTTCTAAGCATTCTTGAATATCCAAAGCTTCTATATCACTCAAAACTTGAGCATTAGCAATCATTGAGTATTTTTCTGTATCCAGAACTTTTTTGATTGAACGTACCTGTAAAAGTAATTCTTTGCCTTCATTATTTTCTGTAAGTGTTGAGTCGATAGAAGGACAATCTTCAGCAATATTAATATCATAGCCACATTCCTTCAGACGATCAGTCAATAGACTAACAAAATCATTTCTAGATGCATTGCGACGAGATGCGTTATAAAGATGAGTTTCTAAAGATGCATTC